GGCCACAGCATTCTGTACCAACTGCAGTTTCTAGACAGTCCCCAAAGGCAGTCCTGTGTAAAGTACATTGCAGGAATCAAATCTCAGTAATATGAGGGCATGAACTACAGTGGCAAGATTCTTTCTACCCAGGAAGGGCTGCAGCTGGCTCATGAGCTGAAGCTGGTGAAAGGCACCTCTGGCCACACCACTGCTATCTGCTTATCCAACAGGAGGCCCAAGCCCAGCAGTACCCCCAAGCTATGAGCGTGCTTCTTTAGGGGAAGTGCAACCTGATCTAGAACAGGAGATACCCAGTTTCCTGATTCAGACCTTTTCCCCATCAGTAGCACCTCTTTTTTTGTGGGAATTAGATTTCAGTTTGTTCCCTTTCATCCATTCCAAAACTACTTCCAGGCTCCTGTTCCCTGGAATCTACTGGTAGCATGAGATAGAGCTGAGTGTCATCTACCGGGCCCCCCATCTCCCTTGATCTCGACCCGTCCGTCCGCCCCATTCGGGTCAAGGCCAGGCACCTACCTATCGCTATGCGGCTGAAGATCGAGGCTGAACTTGATCGCTTGGTGGAACAGGGGGGTGCTGGAACCAGTCGCTTCCGCATGGTGGGAGACCCCAATAGTCACCCCGGTCAAGCCTAACGGTGATGTGCACATTTGTGCTGACTAGAAGTGCACATTAAATAAGGCCCTCCAAGATCATGCGTACCCAGTGCCGGTGGTCAGCCACGTGTTAGCCGCACTGGCGGGGGCCTGGGTCTTCGGCAAACTGGACCTGGCCCAGGCATACCAGCAACTACTGGTGGATGCCGCCACTGCCGAGGCCCAAACTATTGCACCACACAAGGGGGCTTTTAAAGTGCATCGGCTCCAGTTGGGGTGTCGGTCGCGCCGGGCATTTTTCAATAATTTATAGATGCTGTCTTGAAATGGATCCTCGGAGTTCAGCCGTTTTTAGACTACATGCTTATCATGGCCCCGGATGCTTCATCCTTTGCAGATCGGCTTCGCGTGGTGCTCCAGCGGTTTGACTCGGCTGGCCTAAAAGTCAAATGTGAAAAATGCCTTCTGGGGGTGCCTAGGGTGGAGTTCTTGGGGTTCGCAGTGGACACAAAGGGTATCCACCCCACAAACAACAAGACCAGGGCAATCACTCAGGCTCCCCCACCGACATCCAAAACAGAGCTACAGGCCTTTTTTTTTTTTTTTTAGAGACCCCAATGTTGGATCAGGCAAAAGGCCCATCCAGTCCAACACTCTGTGTCACACAGTGGCCAGAAATACCAGTGCCATCAGGAGGTCCAGCAGTGGGGCCAGGACATTAGAAGCCCTCCCACTGTTGACCCCCCCAAGCACCAAGATGACAGAGCATCACTTGCCCCAGAGTCCCTATCTATACCTTGTGGCTAATAGCCACTGATGGACCTCTGCTCCATATGCTTATCTAATTCCCTTTTGAAGCCGTCCATGCTTATAGCACCCACCACTTCCTGTGGCAGTGAATTCCATGTGTTAATCACTCTTTGGGTGAAGAAGTACTTCCTTTTATCCGTTCTAACCCGACCGCTCTGCAGTTTCATGGAGTGCCCACGAGTTCTTGTATTGTGAGAAAGGGAGAAAAGTACCTCTTTCTTTACCTGCTCTTTCCCATGCATAATCTTATAAACCTCGATCATGTCACCCCTCAGTCGTCCAAAGCGCTTTAACCTTTTCTCATAGGGAAAGTGTTCCAACCCTTTTATCATTCAAGTTGCCCTTTTCTGCACTTTTTCCAAAGCTATAATATCCTTTTTAAGGTGTGGTGACCAGAATTGCACACAGTATTCCAGATGAGGTCGCACCATTGATTTATATAGCGGCATTATGATATTGGCTGATCTGTTTACAATACCCTTCCTAATAATCCCCAGCATAGCATTGGCCTTCTTTATTGCAGTCACACACTGTCTCGACATTTTCAGTGAGTTATCCACTACAACTCCAAGATCTCTCTCTTGCTCAGTCCCTGCCAGTTCAGACCCCATCAATGTGTATTTATATTTAGGATTTTTGGCTCCAATGTGCATCACCTTGCACTTGGCCACATTGAACCCCATTTGCCATGTTGACGCCCACTCGCCCATCCTTGACAGATCCCCTTGGAGTGCCTCACAATCCTCACTGGTTTTCACCACCCCGAACAACTTTGTATCATCCGCAAATTTAGCCACTTCACTGCTTACTCCCATCTCCAAATCATTAATGAACAAGTTAAAAAGCAGTGGACCAAGTACTGATCCCTGCGGTACCCCACTGCTTACCACCCTCCACTGAGAAAATTGCCCACCTACACTCACTCTCTGTTTTCTATGAACTAGCCAGTTTTTGATCCATAAAAGGACTTGTCCTTCTATCCCATGATTTTTGAGCTTACTTAGGAGCCTTTGATGAGGAACTTTATCAAAAGCTTTCTGGAAGTCAAGGTAAATAATATCTATTGGATCCCCCTTGTCCACATGTTTGTTCACCCCCTCAAAGAACATTAACAGGTTAGTGAGACAAGATCTTCCCTTACAGAACCCATGTTGAGTCTGCCTCAATAGGTTTTGTTCATCTATGTGCCTACTAATTCTTTCCTTAATAATGGTTTCCACCAATTTACCCGGTATCGACGTCAGACTGACTGGCCTGTAATTTCCCGGATCTCCTCTGGAACCCTTTTTAAAGATGGGAGTGACATTAGCTACCTTCCAATCCTCAGGAATGGAGGCAGATTTTAAGGAAAGATTACATATCTTTGTCAGGAGATCTACAAGTTCACATTTGAGTTCTTTCAGAACTCTCGGATGTATGCCATCTGGGCCTGGTGATTTTTCAGTTTTTAAGTTGTCTATCAGTTTTAGGACCTCCTCTCTCATCACCTCAATCTGACTCAGGTCTTCCAACACCCCTCCTGAAATCAGTGGTTCTGGAGTGGGCAAGCACTTCTCATCTTCCACAGTGAAGACGGAGGCAAAAAATGCATTTAGCTTCTCAGCCATTTCCCTATCATCCTTCAATACTCCTTTTACCCCTTGGTCGTCCAAGGGCCCCACTGCCTCCCTGGCTGGTTTCCTGTTTCTAATGTATTTGAAGAAAGTTTTATTGTTGGTTTTTACGTTTTTTGCTATATGCTCCTCATATTCCCTTTTTGCCTGCCTGACCTCAGACTTGCATTTTATTTGCCATAGCCTGTGTTCCGTTTTATCAGCCTCACTGTGACTAGCTTTCCACTGCTTAAAGGAATTCTTTTTACTTTTTACAGCCTCCATTACTCTGTTTGTTAACCATGCAGGCTTTTTCCTATACCTGTTTGTGCCTTTCCTAACCTGCGGAATATATATTTTTTGAGCTTCTAGGATCGTAGTTTTAAATAGATCCCAAGCTTCCCCAATTGTTTTGACCCTTTCTACTTTTCCTTTCAGTTTCCTCCCCACGTGTCCCCTCATATCAGAGAAATTACCCCTTTTAAAGTTAAAAATGGTTGTGTGAGTCTTTTTGGCCAATTTTCTATTTGTACAAATGATGAACTCAACAACATTATGATCACTGTTTCCAAGCGGTGCAATCACTTTTACATCTCTCACCAGGTCTTGAGTGTTACTTAGGACCAAATCAAGGATCGCCTCTCCCCTGGTAGGTTCCATGACCATCTGCTCCATAGCACAGTCATTTAGAGTGTCTAGAAATTCAATCTCTTTTTCCCGACTAGAACACATATTGACCCAATCAATGTGTGGGTAGTTAAAATCACCTATTATTACACAGTGTTTTTGTCTAGTTGCTATCTTTAAGGCATTCATCATTTTATAATCCTCCTCTATCTTTTGATCTGGTGGGCGATAACAAACTCCCAGTGTTAAGTTTCCTTTTGGCCCCCCTATTTCAACCCATAGAACTTCCAGAAGCGAATCCAATTCACTTAGCCTCTCAATCTTTCTAGACTTTATACCCTCTCTGACATACAGAGCCATCCCACCTCCAACCCTTCCCCCCCTATCCTTCCGATATAATATATAACCGGGAATCACTGTGTCCCACTGATTTTCCTCATCCCACCAAGTTTCAGAAATACCCACAATGTCTATTTTTCCCTCCGACACTAGGCCTGTTAAATTTCTATCATTTTTTCCTCCCTCTCAAGGCGGCCATGGCAGAACCCCTTCACTGCCTGCTCGACAGGAACGCCCCTTGGGCCTGGGGGCCAGAGCACGCTGCCGCATTCCAGGCCCTGGAGGACCTCCTGGTATCGAACTCGGACCTCTCGCATTTCAACGAGGATCTGCCTGTGGTCCTCGCCTGCGATGCGTCTCTGTATGCAGTCAGGGCGGTCCTGGGCCATCAGCTACAGACGGCCGGGAGGTCCCAGTCGCCTATTATTCAAGGACATTGTCATCTGCAGAGCGCAACTACGTGCAGATCGACAAGGAGGTGCTTGCTATAGTGGCAGGGGTGAAAAAATTTCACCATTACCTGTACAGCCGGCCATTTACGATCCTAACTGACCATAAGCCATTTCTCGGCCTCCTGGCCCCCGACCGCCAGACCCTGCAGATGACGTCGCCCCAGGTGCTCCCGTGGTCTGTTTTTTTGGCAGGGTACGCGTATTCTCTCATCCACCGGCCTGGGAAAGCGATGGGCCATGCGGACACCTTGAGCCGACTTCCACTGCCAGCTTCAGATCCGGACCCAGCCCTGGATCATCAGGTTGCACTACTGGAGGCCCTCGTTGACCGCCCGTGCATGTTCATGAGGTGGCACGCCGCTCTGCCAAGGACAAGGTCCTCTGCCACATCTTGGACTGGGTGAGAAGGGGTTGGCCCTCAGGCCAGGGGGGGGAGAGACTTCACGGCGTTCACCTCCTGCAAAGACAAGCTGTCGGCCCACAAGGGCTGTTTGATGTGGGGAGGCAGGGTGGTAATCCCGACCCCCTTGAGGGAATGAGTTCTCGCAGCTCTCCACAAGACGCATCTGGGGGTGGTTTGGATGAAAGCACTGGCCAGGAGCTATGTCTGGTGGCCAGGGCTCGATTGGGACATCGAGGATGTGGTGAAGAGATGCCAGCCCTGCCAGGAATCCAGACTTGAGCCTTCCAGGGCCCCTGCCCGAGCCTGGGAGTCATCCCACAGACCGTGGTCCAGGCTACACTTGGACTTCGTGGGCCCATTCCAGGGTCAGCTGTTCTTCATTCTGGTGGACGAGTACAGCAAGTGGCTGGAAGTGTTCCCGGTGCCGTCCACCTCCTCGAAAGCAGCAATACGGGCCATGTGGAGAATCTTCAGTGCTCAGGGAATTCCCGACACCCTGGTCGCGGACAACGGCACAGCGTTCACCTCCAGCGAATTCCAGGACTTCACCTGGTACTATGGGATCCACCACATCAGGTCAGCCCCTTTCCACCCTGCTACCAACGGCCAGGCTGAGCGCATGGTTTGGACGACCAAGGAAGTGCTCCGCCGCCTGGACAATAAGGACTGGGACTACAAGCTGGCTGCCTTTCTCTTCAGCCAGCAAATAATGCCTCACACCACAACGGGATGCAACCCAGCAGAACGCCTCCTGGGCAGATGCCTGACGACCCGGCTGGATTGTCTTCACCCCGATAGAGCACCAGAAGAAGAGCTGGACACTGAGTCACCGGAGGCAGCCAGAGGATTCTTCCCAGAGGATCCTGTGTACACCAGGAACTATGTGCGGGGTCCGCCATGGATTCCAGCATGGGTGGTGAGAGTCATGGCCCCCCGATTGTATGAGGTCTCCAGCGAGGATGGCCAGATACTCCGGCGCCACATCGACCAGTTGCGTCGGCGGGTGCTGCCATACGACCCAGAGGACTTCGAGGAACAGGGCTCCTCCAAGGCTGCAACTTCCCCTCTGCTACCAGATACTCCGGCTTCTCCTGACATGGCGCCCAGCCTATCTTCACCCTCCCTGCCAGCTGACAGCGTGGCTGCACCTAGGAAAGCAACGCAGACTGATCCACCACAGCCGACGCTGGCCAGCACTCAGCCGAGTGCATCGGCATCAGCTCCTGCCAGTGTGCCAGTACTTTGCCGCTCCACTAGAGCACGGAAAGCGCCCACTTAGCTCCAGGACTTTGTGTGTGGGTGTCTTTCGGACTGGGGGGGGAGGGGTGCAATGTATCCATCTCTGACCACGTGCGAGGCTAGGTCTCCATGTGGTCATACGAAGCGCCTGAGCTTCGCTTCCAGAGACAATGGCCCAAGCAGATCCTAGCCCGTGCCACTCAGAGGGCTAGGCTTTCACCCGTGAGCCTATGGAACTCTCAGCTTCGGTTATAGGCTATCACGAGTGTGGGGTGTATTTGGGTTTGGGGTTTATTGCACATATAGGCCGGCCTGCGAGCTGGGAACCTTGTCTTGTTCTTCACTGGAAATAAAGTATTAGAGCTGAAATCACTAGTAAGTCTCAGTACTTTTCAAAAGGAATCAAAATCAGATCAGGGGATGGGGCAACCTGGCATGTGCTGGAGTTGTAAGTTCACACTAGAGCTCTCAAAAGGCTTTCAATCATAGTGATTGCCTAATATTTACACAGAGTGGATGCTGTTGTTCAGTACTCCTAAGAGTACATTAAAAGTCCTCCTTCAGGTTTGTGGACCCACATATCCTTCCATCTGCATAGTTGTGTGTTTTTTAAGCATAATACTGTTTGTAATGGCTGATGTGGTATGGTGAAGAGCAGAAGCTGAGAGATAAAACATTCCTGCATATATTTAGTCCAGAGTGGATATTTGGGAACAGACTGTTATGGTTACCACCCAAACAGCTTTATCATGACAATTGAATCTGCCCATTAATGGACCGTAGCAGTAGACTGCAAAGGAATAGCAAAGGCTGGGAGGCAAACTGAGAAGAAACAACAGAACAATCTATTATAGGGTTTCACATTTTCAACAAAAAATAGGTTTCAACTCCAGACCAGAACTTCTCCAGCATGCTTTTTTAGAAATATTTTTTGCCTTTATGTTTAGAAATAGCTGGCTCTCATACAAAGTGTTAATAGGCATGACATCTTTCATTAGCCTGCCTCTAGCTGTTAGAGGAAAAATGCATACTTTTTTGCATATTTAAAATTTTATATACTACATAAATTGTGAATATTTTTGTAAAGTGAATAATCTAGCCTGATTTTCTATTAAAATAACACATAGGGTAAGAAAAAAATAAAAATAACACATAACAATACCAACAACATAATATTAGAAAAAAGCAAATAGTTACAACTAGCAATAAATAATTCAAGAAGACAGCAGCAATGTAGGCAAGAAAAACAAAAAAGCAGGAAATAAAAACCATAAAATAAGCAATCTGTCAGTGGAATAATCAGAGCAGAACTAAAGTCAGTAGGTCAAGATATAAAACCACTGAAAGCTCTTCGATACAAAGTAAACTGTTTCCTTGAGGCTAGATGTGAGTGGGCAAGGGGAAATTTCTCTAGGGCAGAGGATTCCATATTCTGGGGCCCTCCACAAAAGCATCTTACTCTGCACAAGGGATGGGCATGAATCACATTTTTGCAGTTTGGTTCATGGCTGAACCATAAACCTATATGAATCAGAAGGCTGGTTCACAAACCAAACTGGTTCATATTGGTTCCTGACCCCCTACTTTCAGCTCCCCGCTGCTTTCCGCAAAGAGCAGAAAGCAAAGGTTTAAATAGCTCGGAGCCATTTAAACCAAACAGCTGAGCAGCAGAGCACTACTCAGCTGTTTGGTATAAATGGCTCCAAGCTAAACCAAAGAAATCCCCTTTAAACAGCTGAGCCCCGCAGAGCTGAGCTGTTTGCTCAATGGCTCAGCTGTTTAAAAGGGTTTTCTTGGGCAGTGAGCCCCAGGTCCTGGCTGCCAAATCAAGCCCCTTTAACAGATGAGCCCTGCTTCTTTAAATCCCTGCTTTCAGCTCTGGCCATGAACTGGCATGAACCATAAGAACTGCCTTAAAATTTCAGGGACGTTTGTGGGAGTAGACCTGTCACGAACTGTGGTTCCCGAACAATGAATTCATCACAAATTTTGCTTCCTGGTTCAGTTTGTGCCCATCCCTATTCCACACACTCACAAGTCTTGGCTTTCTCAGTGAAGGTGCACAGAGTAGTGCACCTGGTGATGATGATCTAGTTTATAGGCAGATTTGTATGTGTAGAGGCAGGCCTTCATGTTTAGAGGCCCTGTGAGATGTAGGACTTTGACAGTCAACGTTGGTACTTTGATTTGGGCCTGGAAACAAACTGGCAACCACTGCAGATGGCATAGCTCTGGAGTAATGTGGTCACTACAGCAAGTTCCATATAGGACCCTTGCTGACACATTTTGAACAAGTTGAAGTTTCTGGATGTTTTCAGTGTCATTTTCATGTGGGAACTGCTAACAGTGTGCTACAGTAATCTAATCAGGATGTTACCAAGGCTCATCTAACTGGCTGGATGTGGTTCTCCCAGGAAGCTGCAATTGATGAACTAGCCTGCAGTGATCAATGTACTCAGCTGCCTGCTTCTCCAGAAGTAATGTTGGGTCCAGGAGCACACCAATACAGTGAACCTGAACTTTAAGTCGGAGTACATCATCAGTAGCCCACAGACTGGAAACATTCCATCTATATTCCAATTCCCCAAAGAGGAGAATAATGTCCTGGTCTCATCACAGCTGCTTCCTGAGGGGGAAAGGGGGGGGAATCTCCTCTCCCCACGTTTTTCTCTTTTTGGGAGAATCAAAGAGGCTTATTTAGAAATAAGACTGTTGACTTGATTGTTGTGGTTCCAGGTACTCACGGTATAAAGCTTAAATTCATCACTGTTATGAAGAAGAAGAAGAAGAAGAAGAGGAGGAGAAGGAGGAGGAGGAGGAGGAGGAGATTGGATTTATACCCCGCCCTTCACTTGGAGTCTCAGAGCGGTTTACAAACTCCTTGCCCTTCCTCTCCCCACAACAGACACCCTGTGAGGCGGGTGGAGCTGAGAAAACTCTGACACAAACTGCTCTTTCAGGAACAGCTGTGCCAGAGCGTGTGACTGACCCAAGGTCACATCAGCAGGTGCAAGTGGAGGAGTGGGGAATCAAACCCGATTCTCCCAGATTAGAGTCCACACACTTAACCACTACACCAAACTGACTTGTACTCTCTTGTGGGTGGGGTGTTCAAAGCTTCATAGTCATGGCTCCATGACTGCTCCACTCTGCTCGCTCCAGCTCACAGGGAGCCCAAGGCAAGTCCTCTATACCCAGACCTCTCTAGGGGAGGTCCGGTGGGATTCCCCCCCCCCGAAAATCCCCTAAGGAGTTCCCCGAGTCTCGACCGCTCCGCTTTGCTGCAACCCTGGAAGTCCTGCATATTTGTATTTTAAGGGCTGCTGAGAAAACTAGTAGATCAAGACCCACTGAAATAAATTGGAGTTTTGCCATTTACTTGAGTGGAGACAAGGTTGCTCTCCTAGCTGTAATGGGTTTAAAAAGTGTTGACAGGCTCATATCCAGATCCTTGATGAATTATCAAGGGCATATTTGGAATTTCTATGGTTTCAAAAATAAATCATGAACAGTTCATACCTTTTTTCTTCCTCTTGCTGAGGCTTTTGACATTTTGGATGTTGGATGTTGTAGGCAATGAGAATTCTTTTCCGTTACTTATTTTCACCCCAAAATTTGAAAGTTGCTTCAAGCAGCAGAACATTTGGCACAAACCTGCCACTGCTGCTATCTTTTGCTGAGCTTGAGCAGCTATTACAGGATGAAATAACATTCTGCATGATTGCCTGAGAAGTGGATGTCACCCAGCCCTGAACAACAGTACACAAACAAATGTGTGCCTGGTAAAGATACATGGGTTATAATGGGTTTAGCAGAGATGGAATACTTTGTAAATAACCACCTTCTTTTCTTTTTTAATCTAAGTGCAAATCATAGCTCAACTGGGAAGAATAAAAAACCCCCAGAAAGCTTTAAAGATGAAGGGAGAAATTTGTCTCCAAGCTGAAAATTATAGAGCTTGGTAATGGAACAAGCAGAGGTGGTATGTAAGGGAAAAATATAACACAACATGAAAGAAACAATAAGGTATCATGCTGGGGGAAAAGGAACACTTTGGTATAAAGAGGCAATCTGCCTCCTCCCCTCCCTAACTCAGTCATTTGTGTTCTTAAAGCCTGAATATTTAGGTTGGTTGCTGCATTTATTCCTAACACTTTGATCTACTATTAGTCTTTGGAACTTTGTGGTCAGAAAAGGCCACTGTCATATATACACAAACTCTTTCTTGCACATATGTTCATATGGGTGAAACCCATACAATTCATGCAATGTATTTCATGTAATAAGTTTGTGACATTTGTATCTCTTCTTTCCCATAAGAAGCTCAGAATAGCATTTGAGCCTCACAGTATCCCCATGAGTGTGGAGAAAGGTAGTTGTAAACCTCTACTGTTGCACCTGTTCCATGCATAGACTGACACCTGAGCTTAGATTAACAACCATGCATCCTTCTAGCTTTTACCAAGAAACTGAATTTTATTTGTTCATTTTGCTTTTGTTGTTTCAGTAATTGCTGATGGGTCCCTGGAGAAGACAAGTGATGATGTGGGGAGCGAAGAAGATTTATATGACGATTTCCGGAGTTCCAGTCACCGCTATGGCCACCCAGGTGGCGGAGGAGAGCAACTTGCTATTAATGAGGTAGGGCAACTATGGGGGCCTCCTTGCAATATGATATGATGAATGAGTGATTTTAAAATGCAGTTTCTCAGAAAGTGAGTGCCTGTTGCCCCTCCTTCCAGGACAAATAACAGTTGGGAGATGTTCTGGTGTTGCCAACCTCCAAGTGGGACCTGAGATCTGGAATTATCTCCATGCTACAGAGGTCAGTTCCCCTTGAGAAGATGGCTGCTTTGGAGGGTGGAATCTATGACATTACACCCCCTGAGATCTGTCTCCTCCCCAGGGTCTACCAGCCAAAATCTCCAGGAATTTCCCAACCAGCGGTTAGTAACCCCAATTATTTCATTTGGTGAACCATGAGAGGGTGGAAAAGATGAACCTCTTTTCCCCTCCCACAGTCCTGATCTGAATCATGGGGGCATGTAGCTGTCATTAGCCTTTGACGCTGCTAGGGTGAGCTGAGTGTGGACCTTCTGGTGTCTTGCCTAGCTAGGTCCTCTGTTTGCAAAAGATGCATACTTAATGATCCATTTACCTTTCAAAATGTTGGCCTGTAACCCATAACAAGGCAGTTTCCTGTGGAAGAACACATAAGACACTCTGGGTGTTCTTTGAAGATCAGTTTGCAGGTAGGAAAGGAATTATGGTGATTCATGGAGGACAGTCCAGTTGGTTTAACCCAGAATCTACCAAGTTTGGGGAGTGGTTTGTCTGTTTTCTGTTTTTAAAAGCCTTTTGGGGGGAATGTTTATGACCATGTGGTTAACAGTGACCTTCTTTAAAAGTTTATTTTAGTGTGCTAAGCGTTAAATTGGTATGGCTGTCCTAAAGAGTTTTGAAAGCATTAAGTTGGGACAGATATTCTGGAGATATTTTAAAATGATACAGTTAGTTTTCATAGTAATTTGTATAACCTTGTTTTTTAAATTAACTTTAAATACTCTAAATAGAAATGTTGGCTTATAAATTATTAGATTAATTAATCTATTTAAAGCTTCTGGGTTCCACATTGCACAACTTTATCTCTACTGAGAACCAGGAAGACGGATCCCACGTGCTATGCATGGCAGGTCTAGCTAGGGCATGATAATACCTGATGTGACTGGGACAGGGTTGCCAGCCTGAGGATGGCAAATGGCAGTGGGGGGGGCACTAGTGGGGGGGGCACCAGCAACAGTGGCTGAGTTCAGACTGGCAGTTTGGCCCAGCAGCCAAACGTTTCAGGAGTGTTTCAGTAGCGGATTAAGGGGCAGGTTCACACAGGCACATCTGTCAGGCGTCCCCCAGCCGTACTCAAGCCGTCTCGTGCCGCTTCCGAGTTTAAAAAGTGCCAGGTTAAAGTGGTAGCAAACCGTGTGTAGAGCGGGTTTATTCCGGTTCCCTGACATGTGAAAGGCGGGAACAACCCGCAGTCGTTGATAATAGGTGCTGGCTGTTTCCATGGCAGGTGCCCATGTGCCCATGGGCATTGGCGCATGCAGTGGAGCGCAGAAACAGCCAGTAACAGCTCACCAGGGGCGGGCCGACAGTTCAAACGCTCCCTTGTGCTTCCTCCATGGTATCCTCCCGCTTAATTCGCTGCAGTGTGAACGGGAATACCGTGAACAAACCGTTCCTGGTCTGTTCCGGGTTTTCTTTGCCACAACTCCCTAGCACTTCAAATTGCCAGTCTGAACTCGGCCAGTGTCAGTGATGCAGTGACATCCCTTCTGGCATGGCCTGTAACATCATTATGTAAGAGCAACACTCTAGCATTTGGCAAAAACTCTAGATGAGCACCGCAACCCTAGAGTCGGATTCGACTGGCTTTCGAGAAAGGGAACCTTTACCTTTTTTACTATGACTAGAGTATTGCCCAACACTATGATGTCACTCTGGATTGCACCAGAAGTGACATAATGGTGTCAGCTCAACACTATTGTCCCCTCCCATTTCCCCCCCTCCCACTGCCCAGCTGAGTGGCAGGAGAGGGAACCAGCAGGGAATGGAAAATCTCCTGCCAAATTGGGAGACCTGGCCTGCCTAGACTGGGATGTTTGAAATCCATTCTGTCACTCTTACAGTCTTCTTTGTTAGAGTGAACACCACAGAGAAGGAAAGTCTACACAAGACAAAGTGCTGCACATGGTGGTGGTTGTCTTTGTTACCACAGCTCAGTACAGAATGGTTAGGCAAGGTGGTGGAAGAATCTTATGTATCTGTTAATGTGTATCGGTCGTTGAGCTCCTTCTTCTTTTGTACTCATCAGTAGATATTAACTTTGCTGGTTGGTCAGGAAGACAGAAATGAGATGAGCCTCCTGATACTTATGGCTGATTGCCAGTGAGGCATGTTATCAGTGTAGGTCTCTCTTCCCAAAATTAGTTGTGAACTTGCTCCAGTCCTTCCATAAATCCATGGCTCACCATGCAGATTATGATGATGCCGTTTGGACTGTGGGCTTCCATTTGCTTTGAGGCTTTTCTATCTGAGATGTGTTT